TTGTCTTCTGAGCCCAGCGTAAACCAAACACTAGACTTAAGATCTATAAAGCATTTCAGGATCGCTTGACCTGTCTTAATCTACATATGATAGTTTAGATTAGCTAGAATCTTTCGGTTTTGTGAAATTTACTGATAATATAGGACTGCCGGCCATTTAGTGTTTTGAAAACCTTGACCGGTTACCGGCCATATAGCCACAGCGGTTATTTTATTCATTCGTTGCCATGAAATGCGTTGACATTGTTTTTTTACTGTCAATAGCTCGATTAATGCTGAACGAATTTGCTGGCGGAAGTGACATGGATAACGCATTAAGCTAAAAAGTTTTCGTCAGGGTGACGTAATCAGCCTGCGTAGAGTAGTGGTAAAGTAAAGTCGCATATAGCTGAAGGATTAGGGTTCAAGTCCTGCTTTATGCCATTCTTTTTTTTATCATATTGTTTCTTTTTTCCCCGTTTTTTGGCTTGTTTTGTTTGCTTATTTGTTTTGTTGTTTTCCTATAAATATGTACCTAAATAACTGTTATTTAATAAAGTGCAATAAACAAAAAGAAAAGTATTGTGTTTCCAGAGCAAAGATAAACAACGTTCCCACGAGTTGACGATAGGCTTTCTTTGATTTTTGTATTCCAGTAGATTCCGGTAATTAATCTGCTTTCCTACACAACCATAACGTATAGGGGTGAGGCGAGATCTGAGTCATGAAAAAAGCCCAAGTTATTATTAGATCGTGCTTATGTTATCATTAATTTAAATATTCAGCCGTAAATTTCCTCCTAAAACATATTGTTCTTAATGTTGATCATGGATGACTCATGTAGCGTCTGTCGGCCCTTCTAAGAGTCAGGTGATATACTTTCCTTTGCCAACTGTTCAATCCTCGAAGTCGTAAAGTTTAAATTTTTTTCCGGTTATCAGTTCAAAGCGTATTTTTGGGATGTTATTTATTGATTGCAGAAGCTAGAGGACAAAAAAAGCGGGGAAGTTGAAGCCCAAGTAATAAACATTTGATGATTTGATGGCAGATAAACCGATAAACTACGTCGATCATATAAAAAATAGTTCAGTCTTTTACTGAAATTGCAACAGTGAAGAAGGTTTTAGGTAAATGATGTCGCAAAAATATTTTTTCCGGCTTCACTGTGGATATTTGATGGTGTTTGAATGATCGTCATTTTCATAAAACTACTCAGGCATCAAGAGACACTAAACGATCAGTTATTTCTTATACTCAGGTGAACGAGTGCCAACGTTAACTAGTTAAATATTCAGCTAAAAATTAAATATTTATGACCCTCAGCTTTTAGTCAACCAATTCATCCTTATGTCTCCTCACGCGTAATATTTTTTTCCATACGTAGAATTAAGGGTTTTCACTTCAGCATTTTTGACGGCATCTGAAAAACTTTAAGTTAAGGTGAGGTTTTTATGAAGTTGTTGTTAATGTACCCTGCCAGCACAGTCTTTCTGGCGTACGCGAGAAAGACTCTGCGTGAGTGTTGACCATGCGCAGCATGTTGCTAGGATATAGTTTCCAACCCAGGCCAAATAGCCGTGCGCTCGCTACAGCGGGTTCGGTTTGGTGGCGCCTAAATCATACCGTCCAAAGGAGAGCCGAGGAGTACTAGGAACGAGTTTCCGATTCGGGTCGACTTCGGCCGACTTCGGAAATTCTTGAAAAAATCCAATATGGCGGCTCAAGCGTGGTGATAACTGACAGCCAATTTATTGCCAGAGAAGCGTGTTTTAGGGTATTGTTGACGCAGTTTGCGTTTATTGTGACTTTTGAAGAGTTCTTGGTCATGTATAGTAAGCAATCCTTTTAGAAATGTCTTATCAATTTGTCTTGTCCCGCTGGCCGGTATTACCGAAAAAAAAAGTACCGTCCAACGGGACATCCTAAATTATAGCAACATTTGTTGGCATGTACATCACCTCTAGCTTTTATTGTTAAACTGTGTTGTAGGACTGGATTTCTACAGGTTTCTACAAGGTTAGGATAACTCTATGGGAACATTTTTATTCATAAAAGTGGCCTTGTCCTTTTGGCCGGTATTTCCTGAGTTTTAACACATTTGTTAGGAGGTATATCATATCTGGGTTTTTTGTTGTTGAACGGTGTTGTAGAACTTGATTTCTGTAGGTTTCTACAAGCTTAGGATAACTGTATAGGAATATTTTATTCATAAAAGTAGCCCTGTCCTTTTGGCCGGTATTACCGGAGAAAATGGTACCGTCCAGCGGGACATCCTGAGTTTAGCAACATTTGTTAGGAGGTATATCATATCTGGGTTTTTTATTGCTAAACGGTCATTCTTTTGGTTTCCAAAAGGCCAAGGCAACTAAACAGGAGTGTTTTTTTTAAGTGTGCGATGATCATGTTCACTTTCATACCTTCATCTGCAGTTCAAAACAATTTATGAATCATTTCATATATTTCAATTCGTGCATACAAGATCTTCATAATTTTATGTAAACGCAACCTTTTAATGGAATCTTCATTCAAGGCCAGAACTAACAATATCCGCCAAACGGAAACTGACTTATGCAAAAACTTTTATATTGACGCGTTAGTTTCAAAGGGTTCACTGGATCTGGATGGGGTTAAATTCAAATGTAAGCGAAACACTTGCAATATTTGAAAGAGCACTTGAGCAACACGGTACAATACTGGGAACTAACTACTTAAACAAGGTCTTAAAATAAAGCTATTTTTTATTTCCGTCTGAGACACCTGGAGAATAAAATTCTCACAGAGCCACAGCCCAAAACGGCTAAGCCGCTCTGTTGCATCACGAAGGCCAAACTGTTTTACTTAATGCTGGACATGCACTATCATCAATGTTTTCTTTAGGATTAGTTTTGTTTGTAAAATTAAAGGCTGGTCATCACCACCTTCTCTCAACAACACTAAAATGCATTCAAGGAAGTTCTTAACAATTATACCATCTATTATTGATCACAAGTTATGAATAACTTCAAGTACCTTTAAATCATGGCATAAGAAAAAAAACTCGATTTCAATTAAAGCACAAATTCTCCTCATTAAACTTAAAAAAAAAAACAACAAATACAGGCATTTCAAACTGAGACTCGAGTCACCGCAAAAGCACAAATAGGATAGTCTAAACATCAAACCTAAAACTCACAACCACCTGAGTTTGACCAAAGCTCAAAAGTGCAATTACTTTGTTTACTAAAAATCTCTCATTCATTTGGTTACACTCCTCATACCCTTAAAACAATTAACTTCACAGATTTAATCAGTGTAAAAATATCCACCACGATCCACACTTAAAAACTGAACTGTGACTGAACTGTTTCACTGCGATCAGGCTTAAGAAATAGTGATTTCCATCAACATTCTCCATGAACATTACACTTTCACACAATAGCAGTTATTGAGAATTTATAAAATGCACGAGTGATCGGTGTCGACCTTAACACGTTTTTGTGCTAAAATAATAATAGGTATCCATTTGAAGATGATACAAAGGAACCCAAAATATACTTACCCCGCTTCGGCTGATGTTTAGAAGGACTGAAGGGCATCACCGTACAGCTAAATCAACTACTTGAATGCCCGAGTTTCTGACTCGAAGGTCATCCGCCACCGTCAGGAAATCATACGATATTGCTTCTCGAACGAATCCCTCATTTTAATTTTCCCCAATTCAGTAATCCACGACCAAGTACCTTTTCCAGAAGCTTCCAGATCTTCTTCTTCTCTTTCTATTTACTTTTGTCAGTTCTTTGAAAAGTGAAGAAGTATGCGCATTTGGAACGAGATAGAATTATTTAAGAGTTGTGAAAAAAGTAGAGCATTTCTAGCTAATAATTTGTACGGTTTGAAATAGGGATTAGCTGGTGTGTCGCACGTTGAGATTTATGCAACTGGCTCCCAAAAGTCAAACTCAGGTGACTGCTACCGCAGAGATGCCAATCTATTCGGAATTATGAGTAGGAAAAACCCCTAGTTTAAAGCCAAAACTAGAATAAGTCAATGAAATGGCAAGTCGTTCAGTAAATATGTACTTGGGACTTTTCGGCCCAGCGATATGATTGTTTCCACGAAGGAAGTTTATTCCTACAAAACATCTGTGTCATTCGGGTCCATTCCCAGTTCAGTAAACATGGATGACGTGTCTTTCTCTAAACTCATGGGAACTTGTGTAGCCTGCGAACAGCAGACGCATTTCCGATCGTCGCTTCTCTCCCTCCGAAAATAGCGTCCGCGGACCCGAGCGGCAAAACGATTTCCGTGACGTAAAACCTTTTTAGCCAATCAAGGTTTAGCTCTTAAAATCAAGGAACTAACTCGCGAGACTTCTCGCAAGGTCGTGTGCGGTGGATATGTTTACAAGTTTTCGAAGGGAGAGAAGTGACGACCGGAGATGCGTCTGCTGTTTGCAGGCTAGGGAATGTGACGTCTGGTCTAAAATTCAACATCTCGCCATTCATCGTCAGCTTATTCATTTCCAAACTATTTAATGATAACAAATTTTTGGAAAAATCATTAAAGATGGCTTTTTTTAAAAATCATGCACAGTTGGCTTTTAATAGGCTCTAAAAATGAATACCCCCGACTCTAAAAATACTCAAAACCGCCCATCCTTTTCTTGCGGTCTCCATTATGTAAGGGCCTTCATGGGTGACCAATGCTAACCAACGCCGGGAATAGCTTTGAAAGTTTAACCTGATGTTCTTGAACTGGATTGTATCTTCAGTTTACCGCAGTTGATTTACTTTTGACTAATATCAAACAAAAACTATAACCCTCTGATACGATATCAATGATTTGGCAAAGACTGCCTTCTTATCTTTAATCCGTTTTACAAGTGCGCTAGGATCAAAGATCGTTTTTTCAAGCAAATGGCAACAGAAAGAATGATCTAGCGGGTGAACGGTTCATTACCTAGCCTGCGAACAGCAGACGCATTTCCGGTCGTTGCTTGTCTTGAAGCGACGACCGGAAATGCGTCTGCTGTTCGCAGGATAACAACTGATAACGGCCATGACTCGTACAGAAAATTGACCACTGATTAGAGCTAACAAGCAGCATAACTTTCATTTGATTGCTGGTTGCGTCACAGAGAACAGTACCTCGCAGTTTCCGTGGTAAGTACGCTGCTTCCTTTTCAGTTACATAATCAACTACTTATATTTTCGAAAGTGTATCTCAGTGTTCGTGGCTGAAGCAGCAGTTGGTGATTAGGCTAGTGCTCTGAGCTCGTCTTCCACATAGGGTAAGTTAGAGTTTTCGTTCCCAGAAGCTCATATGTAAGTTGTGTTTGCGTTTGCGTTTGCGTTTGCGTTTGCGTTTGCGTTTGCTGATGATTCTCGTCCCTGCAAGCGATTGTCTACAGCATAAGTTTGGGGCTAACTGCTTGAACAGCAGAAATGTTAATGTGAGAACAGTTGAGTTTCAGCTTGATTCTGTAGCCAATACTAAACTACCTGGCATAAAGATAGACAACTGTTTTTAAACAACGGTATCGAATATAGGAAAGCGACTTGGCCTTTTGAAAAGAACAGATACATCATGTTCTGTGACTGAAAGCTGGGAAGTTTTACAACTCACTTATCCAGCTAATATCTGACTACGGAGGTTATTGTCTTGGGGACATGAAGCAAACCGAAGCCGCACGTCGATGCGCCAGAGTAATCCTAGACAAAAAATGACACACCCCCTCGGGGCCTTTATTTAGAGACTAACGTGCCATGATTTGATAAGAGACAAGAACGCGCTTATAGCATCATTCACTCTCGCTTGCTTGGAGATTACATCGAGAAAGCTTAGGATAACTGTACAGGAATATTTTTATTCATAAAAGTGGTCCTGTCTATGTGACCGGTATTACCGGAGAAAATGGTACCGTCCAGCGGGACATCCTGAGTTTTAGCAACATTTGTTAGGAGGTATATCATATCTGGGTTTTTTATTGCTTAACGGTCATTCTTTAGGTTTCCAAAAGGCCAGGGTAACTAAACAGGAATGTTTTTTTTATCGTAAAAAATGCCTTGTCCTTTTGGCCTGCATTATCTGAGGAAATAGCACCGCCTAGCAGGACATCCTAAACTATGTCAGCAGTTGCTTGCATGTATTTTTACATGTACATGACATGCAGCTTGTTATTGTTACATTGTATACATACCTTGCCCTCTGAAGGCTTTTTCCCACCAGCCGGGGACAGCTGAACAAAGATAGTTTTATTCATTCCTTGTTGTTGTTATCACCTAAGAATGTCCACCCAGGGGGACAATCTATAGGGAGTACTCTCTGAATAACTCAGCGATTTTCTTTAGCCCGTGAATGTAATGTTTTTCTGCAATGCTGTATCACTCTGGGCCCAGCTCGTTAGTTTTGTTTGGAGAATGTTAAATTATTATGCATCAGTCAATTCCACCTGCGTCCACCCCCCCCCCCGGGCAACTGCGAGGCATTTGCCCGCCTTGTCAGTCCCGGGGGTGGGGCATTTGCAAATTTTGCACTGCCCAGGGGCCGGGCATTTGCCAACCCCCGGGCCATTCCCGAGCTTTTGACACGCACGCAGCTTCCCATTAGAATATAACTACAAAGAAGGTTTTACTGGAAAAAAGCAGATTGGCTCGTCTGTAAAGTACAGGAATATATTGTAGAGGGTTGTAAAGGCATGTTCTCAATTTTACATGTATGTTGCATTTCTTTATTGCTTATAAAGCCAGAATTACGTAGCAAAATTGGAGCTGTAGATGTGAATCAAATTTCTGTTGATATTATTTGAAGAACATCCTTTCATATTTATAAAACTATTCATAACATATAACATTACATCGCTCTATTAATTTTAATGTCACTAATTTTATATCAATACTAAAATTATAAACTGGTGCGTGTCGTCGTGGCGTGAAGTCTCAGTGAGAACCCTAGCGCATTACAAAGGAAGACGTTAATTGAAACAATAAAATCGCACATTAAAATGCTTAAAATGGTACTATTTGACTGTACGATCAATGAAAAATGTTGCAGTGTTGATGGAGGACGGGGCATTTGCCCTCTTTTTTCGTCCTCACCCCTGGGGATTTGACAGCTCAAGAGTCCCCACCCCTGGGAATTTGCCATCCAAGGCAAAAAAAATGCTAATGCCCGGGGGTCAGCCCGGGAAGGAGGGGGGGGGGGGGGCTGGGCTCAGGTGGAATTGACTGATGCCAAGAGAGGATAAAGGGGACAGAGAAGGCATCCCCCATACACACGCTATTCCATAGGTAATTCGTCTCGAGTTATTTTTAGAATCGGGATAAAGTTACCTCTCACGCTGCGTGGTTTTTTCGTGGAGGTTTCGCATGACTAAACGCCGTGCAAAACAGTCGGGCGAAAGGCAATGAAAGCGTAAAGAGATCGAGAGCATTCTTGAATATTGACGCGAAATGAGTCGGCGCTCACCTGGGAAAAGGGAATCGCTAGACTCTTTGACAACCCGTGAAATCAATTCAAATCGAAGTTGTCGTAACCTCAGTGCTTTAATAAAATGAGAAATTTCGCCGGTCTCTTGAAACCGTTCGTTTGTACGATAAAGCAAGTAGGACGCCAAGTGTTATTTTTGTTGAATAATAACAGACTAATAAAAGAATAAATATGAAACCAGCAATTGCTCTCTTCAAACTGTAAATTACAAATGATCCTGAAATAATATTCAGTATGTTAAGGATTTCCCTGTTGTACTGTTAGCTCTATACAAGAGAGGAAGGGCGATTCTTTTTTAATTTCCGTTTCGCCGACACAACTTTAGCAGAAATCTCTCTGTAGTCGTTTTCCTTGACAGACGAATAGCCGTCTTCCGCCATTTTGTTCTGCGTCAATTCGTGAAGGACGCGTGGCTCTGAGCGTGGGTCATCCACGCGGAACACATTCACGCTATGTGATTGGCTGTTGTCTAAACCCCCTTGGGATCTGTGGTCTTAAAAATAACTCCAGACGAATTACCTATGGAATAGGGTGTGTATGGGGGATGCCTTCTCTGTCCCCTTTATCCTCTCCTGCTGATGCATTACGGATAGTGATTTACAGGTCGTGTGTACTCTTGCAAAAAAACGTGACACTGAGTAGAGCGGACGTACAAGGCAATAATCAATTTCCTCCTGCTACTTTTTATAAAAATGAAAACCCTGATAACAATGATAATTATTATTATTTATACTTAGGTGAACGAGTGCTGAGTAGACGTTAATTAGTTGTAAAAACATTCACCTGAAACGAAATTTAATGCCCTCAACTCTTAGTCAACCAATTTATCCTAATCTCCCCTCAAACGTCACTGATATTTTTTCCACAGGTGGAAACAAGGGTTTTTACTTCAGCTCTTGTGAAGGCAATTTGAAAAACTGTACGTTAATAAAGGTGAGCTTCCTAATTCGTCGAATTATTCATGTATCTTCATTACTGAACTTTGAAAAACAGACGTCAAACTTGTTTGTTCACCTCCTACTTTTCTTTTCTAAGTAATCAAACTTTATTCAATTCAAATTCTTTCTAAAGGTAGACGAACAACAGAAGAGAACGGGCAAAAGTGTGAAACGAAAAGGAGTAAAAGAAAACAAGTCATGCAATTATCTTCATCCGAGTGCATCACCTGGTTTGCTGCAACCCTTACCGTGTGTGCTGCTATAGTAACAGTGAACCTTCTATCAATCATTCTTTTTATAAAAAACCGCAGTCTTCGCACTCGTGCCATGTACCTAGTTATAAGCCTGACCATAGCTGATATGTTTGTCGGAGGATTTTCTCACCTTCATCCATTTCGACTCCTCTCACTATACTCATGCGACATTGTGAAAATGAACTTCAGCCGGGAACTGAATGTGATAATTAACTTTCTCTTCCCCTGGTTTCCTCTGACCTCTCTAACGAACATTGCAGTCATTTCATTAGATCGGATGCATGCAACAATTCGTCCCTTCAGGCATCGCCTCATCAAAAAGTGGGTCTACGGGGTAACAATTGCTGGTATCTGGGTTTTAGCTGCAATGGTATCAACTGCAACTTTAATACTTCAGAAATATGAGAAGGAATGGTCGCATGGTCTTTACTTATGGCAATCATACTGTTGTTTGTGTCTATTTGTTATCTGTGTTTTTTACTCTTCCATTGTTGTTAAATTTTTGTGTGGAGCGCATCCTCAGCACCATGGAGCAGCCAACAAACAAAGGAAACTGACCGTAACACTATTCATAATGACTATCGTATCCTTATTGATGTGGCTACCACATGCGGTTTATATTTTTCTTCTATTTCAATCTTTGACTAGTACCATGGAATTCCTTTCTTCCGAGAAATTAGTACGTTTAGAGTTTTTTTTATTCATTCTATCTCTTATGAACTCGCTTGTTAATCCCATCGTTTACACAATCAGAATGCCAGAGTTTAGGAAAGCTCTCCTGCTGTTATTTAAACGTCAACGAAGACAAAATGTCCGAGATACTCCTCTTCATGCGCTTTAATGTACTTTGTTTAACACTTGGAAGCCAATTAATGATTTCCTCATCTTCATAATAAAAAACAGTAGTTGATTGTATACTATTACTTCGGCCTTTAAAGTTCGATAAAAAGGCCGTAAATAAATGTTGTGGTGCAATTTTTTCCTTGGTTGAAATGCGTTTTTCCTTTGTTTTAAACTCTGATTCTCAATCGTACATAACTATACCGCAACACAAAGGAAAACAAAATCTAAACCATTGATGAGTTGAACCACAGTATTTCGTCAAATACTACAACTAAATATAGAGCCGGTTAGTAGTCTCGTTTATCTTTTCGTTACGTTTAGTATGCTTCCAAAAATATGAAAAGATATCCTTGACATTTCCTTGTTTAGAGTTAGTCATTATGATTGTGGTCGCAAAACATAAAATATATCCATTATGTACATTAAGTGCAGTTGTTTAGTTCTTAATTTGTTATTTCACAACGCGATATCTACTTTAATAATGCGACTTGTTTTGATTGTAAAAGACCGCTGTTCGTAAAATCAGCATTTTAAAGAGACTTCAATAAAGTTACTAGCGGAGCTCTGGCGCACGAAGCGCGCTGCGGAGCACCATGGGTAAGAAAATGTGGTAATCTACCTATCCGAGAAAATTTGGTAATCACGTGACCGTACGCCCGACCGTCCGTCCGCACCACAGGCATACCAATGTGAAATAACTCAATCAACAGGTATGGCAACCCAAATGCAACTCGAGGTTATTTTGGCGGGAAATCGCTTTGCCACCCGCGTCTGTCAAGTAGAGGCAACTAAAGAGTCAATAAAGACGAAACCGAAAAGCGGAAATTGTTTCTGTATTCGTGTTTTCTAAAGTATTAAGCTTAGATTAATTGTCATGTCCACACATTTGGAATATAGAGCCAGAGAAAGACAGAGAAAAAGAGAAAAAGAGGAAGCCCAGCGAAACTCAACGATAAAAACGGCAACAGAGATCTAGAGCGAGAGATAAAAAACAAAGGAGACATTTTTTTGTTGGAAGAACAACATGAAAATTTTGTAGGGGCGGTGACAAAATGAGAAATGCTAGCGGCCACCAATGCAAGGAGAAAATGAGCGGCGGTGAAAAAAAAAGTGAACGAGAACACGTACGACATTTCCTCCATAAAAAAGTTTCTGGAAGTTTCACGTTGTGGTCGTGCAAAACAACGGCAAAGAATGTACAAAAAAAGTGTGCTGCACGTGCAAGGTTGCTTTTTTGTTAATTAGACCTATTGTTGTTTTTTCTCCGTTCTCTGGCGTTGCCTTCGCCGCTTAGCATTACACGATTTTATATTTTGTTTGAACAAACTTTAAATATTATCGAGAGCTTCGCTTTTAGCCTTGGCTAAATCTATATATTATTTATATAAACAGGATTTCTTTACGTTCTTATCTCTGTCTGGAATATCACAAGGAAGAGGGTCTCAATGGGGTGGTAGCTTTTACGGTTATCGGCTAAAATTTTGGCACTTTTATGGCTATCGGTTAATTTTTTCCAGTTACGGTTAACAACAAAGTTAAAAATTAATTTCTTTTGTTTCAAGGAGTTAAATGTTAATAAACCTGTATTTTTTGTATCTTTAAAGCGAAATAAAGGTCTTAGAATCATCTCGGGATGAAATAGGCCATTCTTTTGAAAAATTTTAACATTTGACAGATCATAGTTTTTATAAAGTGTTCCACTTCTAATATTATTTTACGCATACAAATGTCAATAGTCAATTTAAAAATAATCTTTGTGAAAAAGCAAAAGCTGACAGGCAAACGCCCAACTCAAGGCCAGGGAGCCACTTTCATTTATAACAGAAATGGCCGTTTTCACACTAGAGGCAGATTATTCGGGTGAGACGGGTTATCCGTTTGATAATTCGCGTCAAATAGGTAATACGAAAATGGAATGGTTTTAAGTTTGAATCAGAACAATCGGCCTGGCTTTCTCGGTCAATTTTGACGCACAATTTAATTGAAGATGGATTATCCATTTCAGATAGCTTGTGTACAGCCGCCCCCTCCCCACAGAAGGAGGAGGGGAGAAGGAGTGTCTGTGGGGGAGGGGGTGACTGTACACAGGCTAGTCTCAGATGGATAATCCATTTCTAGCTCTAGTGTGAAAAAGGCCAATGAAAAACAATTCCTGTGTCCAGTGTTTTTAATGTAGCGAAGGACTGTACAGAACGACTGTCTGCCGTTGCCTTGTCTGTAGGCTTCATTGTTCCGCGCGGCTGATGCGTTTCGGGTCACGTGGTCCGAGCGAGTTTTTTTTTCTCAGATACGCCACCGAAATGCCTTGACTGAGATTGCGTGGGAAGACGCCGCAGCCTCAGAGAAAAACAGGGAATTGTTACATGGAATTGTTGTTTATCGGCGACGTGTTTTACAAACAGTGACATCTCGATCTGCGTGTTGCTAGTATTTCGAGGGTACGACCTCCTGAAAATCTAAAATATTAATCCCCAGCAAGGAGCCAGATTTTCTCTATGGAAAAAATTAGTTCCCCGAGAGAGCGGCGGCGGAAATGGAGCCTAGGTCTTGATCAACACCTAAAAGCTAGGCGCTTGGCCTAACGTGCGTACGCAGTCAAAGTAGCCGGGAAATAAAAACGCAATCATAAGTGAGTTTAGCACCTTCCTTAAAACTAACAAATCTAGGGAACAATTTCTTTTACGGTTAACTCTTTCTTACCCTATTTGCGGCTAACGGTTAAAATTTTTCAATTTTTACGGCTATCGACTAAATTTTTGGCCGTTTTACGCCTATCGGTTAACCCCATTGAGATCCTCAAGGAATGGGCCGGAAAAACACTTCAGTGTCCTAAAGATGGGAAAAGTCAGAAGATTGTTAAAAAAATCTTTTTTTTTCACGCCAATTTTAGGAGACGATTATAAGAATGTTGTTTTTCCTCGTTGTGTGGTTAAGGACATTTGTATACAGCTTGCCAGATACATTCAAGACTCTTTCTGCCACTATTGGTGAACATTTCCGGGTCTTTTTTGGGAGATAATATATAGCCGAATCTGGGAAGGGAAGTCAATTGGAAAACTTTGAAAATCATAGATGAATGAAGAGTCATCAAAACTATCTGGCCTCACTCGATCGAGAAATAGAAATTTGTAAACAAGTTAGAGTTTTGCTTCTTCAAACATATATTTTACATCAGAAAACTTTCCCCTGATAAATGAGGATGGAGACAGTATGAAATAATCTGGCTTGCATATTGTCATCACTGGAAACTAAATCCAGTAAATCCATCTTGTCAGTTCGTGTCCTTAAACTGCGCCATGAATTCTTGATGAAAGGTTCTTAGTCGCTCAAACATTGGAGCGAACGTCTCTTCGGAATTAAGAATAGTGATCCTACCAAGAAAGATTAAAACATGAAACCGTTTTAAGTTATTTCCTTCGTATGGATAGTGGGTCTGAAAAATCAAAACGTTTTGGATTATTTTAACCCATAATGTGGAGATAAAACTTGGTCCAATTTCATCACACTTGACACGCTGACAGAACGTCGCTTTTACAGACAAGTCGCTTTTAGGACACCTTTACCACATCTCTGGTCCATACCGCATAATCCCGGTTGTAAGCCCTTCTATTTGCAAACACCAACTTTATCCCAGTTGCAGGCCCTCTACTAAGCCCCCATCACCCCGGCTATGGGCCGATCTGTGTATACCCTTATTGCGTTCGTCAGAACGCATCCTAATTTGGTGTTCCTGTGGTACAAAGGCAGAATTTTTCGACTTATCTCGGGCAACTCCTGATTAGCCGCCCCTATAAATTTTATCAGGGGTAACTCGGCCTCAGAAAACTGGACTCCTTTGGACTCGTTTTCGTTTCCCTTAGGCTTGTTTTTTTTTGCAGATGTCATGCTAGTAGAACAAGACGAACGCGGATCCATAATCAATGATTATAACTAGTTATATGGGTGGTTCCGCGAACGTACAAGATGAGGAAAGTAATGTGTTCTGATTGCTTACAGGAGTTAAAAAAGAAACATTCGTAATTTGCAATGTACTATGGGATTCTTGTCGACGACCCTTTTCTGTTGTTGTTGGTGGTGGAGAGCGGGGGGGGGGGGGGTGGGGGTGGGGGGTAGGGGGAAAGAGGGGTCCTTTCCAATTTAAAGGTGCAGTCAATCTAATCAATCTAAATATATTAGACAAGCCTGTGAAAACCTTGTGACACAGGGGCAACAACAACAACACCAAAAGCTTTATTTGCATGACCATAAAGGAATTACAGTATTGCAAAAGCTATTAGTCTAAATTTAAGTACTAATTCAACTAATTAGTACGTGCAAAACATTACAAAACGTTACAGTTTTCATTCATTCATTCATTAATATTAATTTGGTCCTTAATTCAAAGGATTGCGAGATAAAAGAAACTAATTGACAGTTAATTAAATAGTCAGAAGAATTCATAAGAAGAGATATTAAAGTATCGTGTGAAAGTGATTTGAAGTCAGGTATTTTAGTTTCTAGTTTGGAGAAAAATATGTCTCTGATCTGAGAATAAGCCTTACAATCTAGTAAGAAATGATTTTGTTACTTGTACAAAAGTGACATATCCTTTCATTGCGAGGAATGTTTTCGTATCTACCTGTTTCAATTCTAAGTTGATGACTACTTATTCTGAATCTAACTAATGCTTTTCTCGAAGGGTTTTTTCTCGTTAAAACTAGGTACGGCGAGGGGCTATAGTCGTCTTTGATTGTACAATAAAAACTGAGTTTTTGTGATTGTTGAAGGGTCTGATTCCAGTAAGAGACGTATTTATTTTTCATTATGCCGATTATACCTATTAACTATTGAGTCACTCAATGAATTACAGGAAAAGTCATAGTTTAGATCATAGTAGTCAACCATTTTCATGAGATTAGAGTAAAAGCTAGTTTTTCCGTTATGATGAAGGTCAATTGAAATTTGTAAGGCCTGTTTAACTATAGAATCTTCTTCTTTACCTCTCAGATAGTCTAAGTAATTTAGAATCTTTTTATTTATATCAATGATCGTGGGAAATTTACCGAGTTCAGCTCTACAAGCAATGTTGGATGCCTTGTTATGTACTTGTAAATAACGTTTACAGAATTGCAAATGGGTTTTTTCAATTGCAGAGCTGTCCCAGGACTTAAAATCTGATTTAACAAAAGCACCCCAAACTTCGCTGTTGTAGGTTAGAATTGGTGAAATCATAGAGTCAAAAATTTTACACGCAAGTGAGGGCTTAAGATTATTCAAATCCGTGTGCCGCCTGAGGCTGAAGAGCGCGTGAAGAGCTTTTTGTCGGAGATGTTCAAGCGAAAGTGTAAAATTTCCGGAAGATGTAATTCGAGTTCCTAACTAAGTATAGTTTTGGACAACGTCGATTACTTCATTGCCTATGCGGAAGTTATGTTCACATTTTCGTGTGCATCGTTGAAAAATCATTATTTTGGTTTTCTTAGGATTTATTCTAAGCATCCATGAGTTG